CATGTCTTCTAAGGAAATAAACTGGAGAGTAAACACTGAAACCTTTGAAATTGGACAGGCCAGGTTTCACATCCCAGCCCTTCCACCTACCAGCTCTAGGACCCTGAACAAGGTATTTAACCCCTCTCAGTCTTAGCTTCATCCATGAAATGGAGACGATAATAACAGCCACACAGAGTTGCTGTAAAGCCGAGGGAGAAAACATATGAAGAAACTGAGGCAGCCCATATAGTTGACAAACGCAAAGCCATTTGCCTGATGCTGGAACACAGGACTTTCCAGGCTTCCTTGAAATTAGACACACCCATGTGACTCAGTCCTGATTAACGACACATGAGCAGGAGTCTGTCCAAATTTCCTCTTCTGTTTACTGTTTTTTGCTGGGATCCTGAACCAAAACTGCAAAGTTCCTTGGCCATCAGCTAAGGACGTTTGAGTAGGAAGACAGAGGTCTAGGAGCTTGATGGTGCTATGTAGCCACCACTGAGCCTGAACTACGCACCCTCTAATTCCTTATTGCTTGAGATGAATAAGCACCTATTTGGTTCTGTGCCCTATCACGTTTCTGTTATAAAGCAGTCACATGCAAGCCTCCCAACAGAAACTAACAGAAGTCCAGCAAAGATCGATATCCACGAGACATTAGGCCCCTTAGTTCCTTCCAGCCAAAAAGATCTGCATCAGGGGAAATGAATGCACAAGTGTGAATAAGAGGAAAAAACCTACCAAATTCTGTAGACTATATAGTATGATCCAAATTTTATTAAAAGAAAAAAAAAATTGCTGTGAGACTCAGGGATATCTAGGAGCTCAGAGAATTCTATTAGCACACTACCGTGAAGAAAAAAAAAAGTGTGTATTTTCATTTTAACAAGGCTATTTTGACAAACTACTTCAAAATGTCCTGCTGGGTTTCCCACAGGCCAAGGACGCTGCAGTCCAGGCTCAGTGGAACATGACAGGAGCCTACAGCGGACCTAGGAAGCTGGAAATGAGTTTCTGTGTGGGGTGCATTAGTGATGTTTATTGATGCTTTACATATGGCCTTGGGTGAACATGCTGAGGAGAAATGAATAGTCATTTGTAATTTATATCACAATGTAAGAGAATGCAGAGCTAACCATGTTTTTATAACACCAAAAGGAAATACTTTTCAGATTATATCAGCACAGCCCAGTTGTGACTTCTAACATTCCTGCTACTCCCTCACTCATTCCCATGGAAATTTGTGTTCTTCCTGGGCAATATATCTTAGGCCTAAGGAGAGTTTATTCAATAAGTCCTGCAAACACTGGACCATGCCGGCTTAAAAGGGACAGTTCCTGGCAGGAAAGAGCTGGTCCCAACCCAGGAGATTGGGAGCAGCTATTCTCAAAATGGGACTGCTGATACCACCACACTTTCCTCCCCAAATACAAACACGCACATATATGTCACATGTTTTAAAAATCCTGTGGGAAGGTTAAAAATTCAGCCCTTCATGCCTAAGAATATTGAACAAATAGTTCACCAAAATACATTTATAGAGCCCTTTGGAAACAGCCACCTCTGAATGTCCTGCTTGGTTTCCTATAGTTGAAGCAAGGGCACTGCAGGAGTCTAGCCCAAGTGAGACACAGCCAGGGAAACCCCTTGACAGACATGAGTGGTTGGAAATGAGTATTTACACTGAGTGGGAAGCATTGCAGTGGGCACAAAAGTGAAAACCCTCTTGTTCCCAAGAGCTCACAAGAGGGTACTGAGATAGAAGGACTTTTAAACCCTGTCATATGCAGGTATGAAATTACATGCATAGCATTATGTGGCAGAATACATTTGAAAATAAAGTTACAGAAAGTTGTAGAAGGTCCAAATAACGAGGAACTAACTAACTAAAAGGAGTTTGCTGTGGCATCTCAACGTACAGACATTTCAATAGTTACCTCCTGAGGATAACCGCCCCAGCCCTTACAGGACCTGTTGATATTCTCTAATGTACCAGAGCATCTCCCTTCTTACACTGCGTTGGTACCAATGACACAAAAACAATAGCTAAAAGTAGGCAAACGAATAACGTTGATAATGATAGCTAACATATACTGAGCATTTAAGGGGCAAGTGTAAAGGTACACATGTAGAACTGAAGTTGGAAATGAGTGACTTAGCATTATTTCACTGAAACTCAGGGAAAGAAGCAATGCTTTGTTCATGCTGAAAACGTTGAGCCTGGCCCACTCACCCGCATTTCTACCTCATCTGCACACACTATATTTTCTTCCTGCTGGGAGCATGCATGAAGCATACCAATTAACGGACAACCTTGTTGGCTGGTAACAAACTAGAAACATTTTGCTAAGAAAGAATAATGAATGAGAGCAGAGGGAAAACACCATTTTTTTCAGTGATGCAAACTGGTTTACCAAGATTTCTATGAATCAATTAGTTATTTCAGATTCTTAGCAGGAAAATACATATGCAATGTTTTTTTAAACCTACTCATTGAATTGGTTCTGCCTTTTGCAATGGCTGTGTCCATACACAATGATGTGATGACTTTTGATTCCCAAGAAGAAAGCATTCTTCCTTTATTATTCGAGGATGTTTCCTTGGTCTTAAAACGGGCACAAAGAGGCACAGAATTCATTTGCACACACTTTAAAAAGTAAATGCTTCTTACAACACTATTGCTGCAACTGACAGATATGATAGGAAGCTAGTTTATGTACCTTTAATCATCCCTTTAAACCCATTTTCTAATACAAAGTTAGAAGTCAGTTGGTGTAACTAAAAGTCCTCATCCACAAAAAGGCTACTTTGGATTTCATTTAAAACATTTCTATGTGATGAGCTGTTAAAGAAGATTGCTTCCTTATCTATTCCTCACGCCACAGCTAGTTGGTAGCAGTTTCCATACATAGAAGGTCCTGTGGATTGGCTTGCTCAACCCTGTTCCACTCTCTTTCCAGCTTCCTGCTGAAGCGTGATAGTTAAAAACTGGCTTACTAAATTTACTAACTGACTTCTTTGCAACTACTGTTCTGTATGCAAATTATTTCTTCATTAGAAACATTTGAGGAAGATTTGAAAAGGGGAGGAGAATTGGAACCCATCTTTCCTGTTTCTAAAGGAAGCAGCTGTGGCTATGCTAACAGCAATGGAAGTTGGGGCTTCCCAGCCCCTAGACCACAATTACAGTAGTAGGTTCTTGAACTCAGTAATTCTAGGAGCCACCATTTGGCTCCCATTTCTCCATTCTTCCAGTGATTTTTCTAAATGTCAAATTCCCTGTATAAAATATATTTCTGCTAAAAAATATCTACAGAGATGTCTGTACCTTGCCTAAACAATTAATTCTATTCTTCATGCTTCAGCCTCAAGATACTAAGTATGAATCAGCACATTAATACCAAACATATAATGCTTTGTAGTTTATAAAGTACATTTATATGCATTACAGTGGGGCGCAGTGGCTCATGCCTGGAATCCCAGCACTTTGGGAGGCCAAGGTGGGCAGATCACTTGAGGTCAGGAGTTCGAGACCAGCCTGGCCAGCATGGTGAAACATGGTCTCTACTAAATCTACAAAACTTTGCTGGGTGTGGTGGTGCATGCCTGTAATCCCAGCTACTCAGTAGGCTAAGGCAGAGTGACTTGAACCCGGGATGTGGAGGTTGTAGTGAGCCAAGATTATGCTACTGCACTCAAGCTTGGGCAACAGAGTGAGACTGTCAAAAACAAACAAACAAACAAAAAAAAAACGGACATATATATGCATTATCTAAGTTGATCTTTTCCACAACTCTGTAACATAAATAAGACAAGTGTACTCTAGCCATCACAGAGACAAGACAGCTGAATCTCAGACAACTTAGGTAATTATCCAAGGAATTTAGTTAGTAATAGATGGAGACAAAAGTCAGTTCCATATATTATGACTCTTAGTTATTTCCTTTGACACTTGGAAGCCTCCCAAGGGCAGATGAAGAAGAGAGAGAGAGAGACAGAGAAAACATGTAGATGCTGACAATAAACTAAAGATTCTATTTCCTATTTCAAAAATTAAAAGAAAAATTTTATCACTACATTTTAAAACCATTAAACTAGACTGAAACATGTAAGGATGAGCGAGTCAGTATGGCTGTTTTATAGAGTATGACTTTGGATCTAGCAGAACCCGTGTCTCAACTTCGTAGGATTCCTCCTTCAAAGTCTCATGGGCTATTAACAGAGATGCATGAAAGGTTCAGTCCCACTTTCCAACGCTCATAAATTATCTTTCTGAACAATCATCTGAGCAAACCAAGGGTGGCTAGAAGTCTTGGGGAGGCCAGGATTCATTTCTGAATTTTTCCCAGATTGCAATTTTACCTAAGATCTCCCTCCCCACAACTAGGGTTCCTTAAAATAAAATTTCCCTTTTCTCCCCACTTGCTGCCTGCATGTATGTTAGAAAAACATTTTATTTCAATGCTCAGAAAACCAAGAAGAGAGATTAAGTAAGCAAAGCTTGATTTAGACCACTTCAAAAGTGGTCAAGTTGAATTATCCCTCTTCGAATTCACTACTGCTCCATTTCACAGCAGTAATCTAACCACAGGGTTAACATTCAGGAGCTCTAAGAAGCAACCTTCTAACCATATGGTCCCCACTCCTTGAACAACATCAGTCCTAAGAAAACATTCCAGCATCACACAAATCCTCACCGTCATGCCACAGCCAACCTCAGAACACTGGAATTCCACACGTTCCTGACCATTCACTTTTTGCTTCCTTCAGTCTCACAGGACTCAAATTAGAAAAGCTAGGAAAACTGTAACTCTATAATATCCTACATCCACCCTTGCATCAAAACACTATGTGATTTATTCACACACACAAGGATGACAGCTATAAAGAAAAACATTTAAGAGAGAAGAAAACAAAAAGTCGATCTGATGAGTTAGGCAAACTCAATTATCCCTTTTCTATGACAGCAAGAAATTTAAGAAACTATAATGAAATGCAACAAACACTATACTAACCTGAGGGAAGAGAGAATAAGTTGAATTGTCAATGGTGAATGAGTATAAAAACTCCCCATCGTACCACATGCTCTTCCCCATAGGGGAATTCATTTTAGTCATTGCAAAGAGATGGGCAGGGTCGCAGCAGTCTTCCATTTGTTTCCTAGGAGAGAAAACAGAGAGAGAGAAAAGAACAGCAGGTTAAATAAGGAGCAGATTCATTCACTTGTCATTCTCACAGAGATGCACTGCCTTACCTCAGTGCCAGCTCACAGAAGCATAGCATCTCCAGGGTGATCAGACTACTATTAATTCACTCTTCCAGCCACCAACATGCGTGACTAGAATATTTCACAGTTAAAAAAAAAGTTTAAGAAAAATATATCAGATCTCAGATTCAAGTGAGCTATGTCAAAAGGCATAAATAATCATCACGGTCACAGATGTACCGATTAATTCAAACATCCAGGTCCAGGAAAGACTTAGATAGCTACCTCTGGAGACTGTTGAGCACTTCAGCTACAGGAGAGGTGTATCTCTATCCTCATTAACAATCAGGTGGTTAAGTTCAGTGAAAAGACACTTTCTGTGAGCTGTATGGAAAAGAGATACACAGAGCGACCCAAAGAGGGTGTATTCCCCCAAACTGGTGACAACCCCTTAGAAATCTTTTGAGTAGAAATAGAATAAAATAAATGATGTGATCTCAGACACTGGAGAGCAACCTACCTTCTCATTGTTAAACCTCATAGGCCTTTTTGGTTCTCACTTCGTCTAGCCTCTCCGAAATGTTTGACACTGTGAGCACCATGACTCTGGTGGAAGTTTCTCCTAGCTCCCTCAGTATCTGAAGTGCCAGCATCACTGGGGTAACCTCACCCTTCTGGACTGGCTTGCAGGCTACTTCCCAGCTAGCCCCTCAAGTCTGAGCCATGTTCGTTCTATGGGACAGTCTTTATATGACCCTTCAATTAACAGTCTGTCAGAAACAAATTCCACTTACTCATGAGAAAAAGAGTTTATTCACCACCTCTGCCTCTAGGAAGGTGAACCAAACAAGTTGCTGACATAAACCACTTCTGAATGGTGACCTCACACAGAAATGCTTGCTCAGACATCTTTAGCCACCCACGGTGCAGAAGCTTAGGAGCTGAAAGGGCACGGTGGAGTGGCGGACCTGACTTCAAATCCTGCCTCTGCAGCTTACTAACTCCATGACTGGGCAAAAAGACTGTGCTGCAGAACCGCCCTATGAGACTCTCATTGAGAGTTCACTGAGAACATACCAGCAGGGCACACAGTTCAATATACAGTAGGTGTTCAATACATTATTAGGTGTTCAATATGTGGTAAGTGTTCAATAGGTTCAATACAGAAAGTTCAATATGTGGTAGGTGTTCTCCTTATTGTTACACTGTCCCAGCCTCATTGTTGCCTTGAATCAACCTAGTCAGTAAGGCTGCAGCTGCAGGGGCCCCATGGTGTGGGCAGGCCTCCTCAGCCCACAGGGACGGTGCTCTTCCTGCCACACTGTGCTTCCCTTTGCACCCTCTGAGATCTTGGTTGACTCTGCCTTCATGAAGGTTTTAAAGGAAAGGAGGACAGGAAAGAAGGGCTCAAGGTGGACAAGGGGAGAAGAGCTCGGGAAGAAAGCTTGCATCTTATCAAAGTTACTGGAACGAGTCTCTTCTTGCTCCTGTGCTATCCCTCCATTTCTCATCAGCTGCCTCTCTCTTTCCTCCTCTTCTCCACCTTCATTCATTTTTATTGGTGTTTTGCCACTCAAAAGATGGCTTCCAGAGATGGCAAAGTTTGCCTTTCTTGTTTGTTGTTGTTGCTGTTGTCTTTGTTTTTTGAAACAGGGTCTCACTCTGTTGCCCAGGCTGGAGTGCAGTCACTGCAACCTCAAACTCCTGGGCTCAAGCGATCCCCCCACCTCAGCCTCCCTAATAGTCGGGACTACAGATATGTGCCACCATGCCCGGCTAAGGTAAAGTTTTATACTGGACTGCATGTATTTTGTCAAAAGCGCATCTAGGCACATATTGAGTCAACAGAAAACACTGGATGTGGCTTAAGATTGTCTTTAAAAATGAGAATTATCATGAGCACGATACTAAACTTTGGGGGAGAATAGACTAAAGTTTTAGTTCCTATCTCATGTCTGGTGATATCTCATATTTTTTAGTCCTTAGAGCAACCGTAAGAGATAATTAACGGAATAGTCATTATTAGTATTATTCTCATTATTACTCCCAATTCTCATCTGAGGAAACAGGCTTAGAGTGGTTCCAGGACTTTCTCAGGCCACATGGGGCAGAGCAGGAAGCCAGGTCTATGGAGTTCAGGATTTCTCCTCTTTGCAGGCTACCTGCTCAGAAACATTTTGATTTATCTATGTCTTTCTCTGCCCTAAAAAAGAAATGCTGTGTAAACACTGGCCAACTGCCTGCTGTACACCTGGTGCCTTCACAGATATTTTTCTACTTAATTCTCATGGTAACCCATGAGCTGCATGACTTTAAGATTCTTTTCTCAAGTAATTTATCTCATGTCGCATAGCTAGTGAAACGGTGGAACAGGGCTTTGTTCCCAGGTCTTTGGACCTCATGTCAGGTGCTTTTTTTCAGCCAGACCATGGCTCTGGCCTCCAACCAAGCTGACCTTGCCATTCAGTGCAAAGTACTACAGGAGGTGCAGAAGAAAAAATTATCACAGCCATATAATAGCACCTTATGGTGCCTAGTACCTGGCAGCTTGCAAATTGCTTTCATATTTGTTTCCTCTTTGCATTCTCCAAATAGCCCTAAAAAGACAGGTTACATTATTCTGAATTTATGGACAGTGAAACTGACGCTGAGACTCAGAGATTTGTTTAAGTTCATTAGTTTAGCAAATGTTTCCTTAATTACTGATAAAATATGTATTAGATGATGTGGAATCAAATTTGCCTCTCCTCCTACAGCATTACCATGCCAGGGCAATCATACCTTTAGTGGGGGACACCAAATACCCCATAGAAAATAGAAAGTGCCACGTATATAGAAATATTTTAAAATCCAAGAGGTATAGTAAATTCACAGCGATCATACCACTATTTGCAATATGAGTGGTTTTTCTAACATAAACTCTTAAATTTTTCTTTTCATCCAGAACACCTCCACATCTTCCCTCTGCCATGACCATCTTGGGAGGGTGGCTGAAAAGGGACTACAGTGTGGAAATGTGCATGCATATCCCCCATGCATGAGTGGGGTCCACATTAGCTCACCAGCTACACTGAATATGGCAGAAGCAGCAAAAACAGGAATAGTACTAGTACTCCAGTACTACGAGCAGCAGTACTAATAATCGTAGTCATATTAGAAGTAGTAGTAGTGATTTTTACTGAGTTCTTACCTAAAACTGTGCTAGGTTCTTGGGATATCAAATTGAATTTAAAACCAGATCTTCCTTCTAAAAACATAACCAAGAAAAGGGGCAACCAAGAAGCAAGTGACTTTCTGTGTATGCAGGGAGATGGGACCAAAGCCACAGTAGAGATGTGCACAGATATCTGCAGTTGTTCAGAAAAAGGAAGACATTAAGTCACATCCAGAGTTTCGGGAAGGGTTTCCTGATCTGAGATTTTCATCCCATTGTTTGTGATGTATAGAAATTATCAGATTAAATAATGGACTTCAGCTTCACCCAACTTTCAGGTAATTCTGATGCAGAGCTATAGACCAGCTTTTGGAATTTTTAGCAAATTTGGCTCCTACCTCCTTTTTCTTTTTCTTTTCTTTTCTGTTTTTCTTTTTGAGACAGAGTCTCACTCTGTCACCCAGGCTGGAGTGCAGTGGTGCCATCTCAGCTCACTGCAACTTCCGCCTTCCGGTCCAAGTGATTCTCCTGCCTCAGCCTCCTGAGTAGCTGGTATTACAGGCACACGTCACCACACCCGGATAATTGTTTCTGTATTTTTAGTAGAAAGGAGATTTCACCATGTTGGTCAGGCTGGTCTTAAACTCCTGACCTCGTGATCCACATGCCTCAGCCACCCAAAGTGCTGGGATTACAGACGTGAGCCACCACGCCCAGCTCCTTACCTCCTTTTTCATGCTTTGCACTGATGCTGTGTATTATTTGCTTTTCTTTTGTGGCACACAATAAAATCAGAGGATTAAAAAAGCAAAAGGAATTCCTTTCTCATATTCAAGTTCAAATTGCCAGATCATTAAGTTTCAGTTGTGTGTGAGTTGAGTGCTGGAATTAACAACTAATTGCCTTTTATTCGAATTCAACCTTCAGCAATAGTCATAGCTAATGATGCTATAGCTGCAGCATGAGGGTAAATACTTTTGAAGCCTGGGAGCCACTTGCTAGAACCTCACTCAAGTTCTCATCCCTCCTAATGGAAGTCATAAGATCAATTAAGCCAAGAAGCCCTCATTTCCTGGGAGCCGCTTGCTAGAACCTCACTCAAGTTCTCATCCCTCCTAATGGAAGTCATAAGATCAATTAAGCCAAGAAGCCCTCATTTCCTGGGAGCCACTTGCTAGAACCTCACTCAAGTTCTCATCCCTCCTAATGGAAGTCATAAGATCAATTAAGCCAAGAAGCCCTCATTTCCTGGGAGCCACTTGCTAGAACCTCACTCAAGTTCTCATCCCTCCTAATGGAAGTCATAAGATCAATTAAGCCAAGAAGCCCTCATTTGTTGATTATGTCTAATGACCAGGAAGACAGATTCTGAGGAAACTTAACAAGCAAATAAGAGTAAAAATCCAACCAATCAATTAATAATGCCTAGGATCAGAATGAACCTTGTTATAACCCTTTCAGATGCCATGTTCAGCACTTTGGTCACCACACAGGAAGAAGGTTGGGAGCCTGCCACTCCAATGAGTGATACTTTGTGCTCCTTCCAAGGGATAACTGAATTTGAGACAGGAGGGGTGACCAAGAATTCTACCTCAGTCTCAATATCTGACCAAAATCTACTGTTAAACTGTAGCTTTAGACTTATCTTTGGGAAGGTTAAACAGTGAGATAGAGAAACATCCAAATCAATGTCATTGCTCACATCCCTGAACATGTATGTGAAAAATGATCATGTGATCATGAATGTCTCCTTCATATCTAATCAGGATATCAATGTAAGCTGCACAAACACGAAGCATC